GTCCGCAACAATTTCCTGCGTATCCGTGAATAAATATATTTTGATACCATAAATGAGAGGAGCCGTGGAATGCGTATAAGCTGTAACTTAACATTTTTTGTATTAAATTCTAACCGCTACAACAATCATTATTACGTGTGTGTGCGTGTTAATTGTGTGCATCTACCGGTATGAAGCTGCTATTCGAGAACTTTTTATTTCCACCGTTTATCGGTTCTTCGAGCTATATGGCCGACCTATTGCCAACTTCACCTTACTAATCGTCGGGCTATGTCGGTCACTCTGCTTCTACTGCGCATATCCTAATCCTATAAGTTTATCACGCTGAGAAATTCCAAGCATAGCCTTCTCTATAGCTCGCTGAGCGACCTTGAGTTTCCTCATATCGCCAGCTGTGAAGGACCAAGTCTTAGATCTATAAGTCATCACTGGCAACATGCATTGGGGCAGTAGAAAAAAGAGGAAACCTGCGCTCAGGAGTGGGACGTTGTAGGCTATAATTTTACTTTTACCTTGCCTACTCTTATCCTGAGTGATCATAACCGATTAACATTAAAAATCAAAAAGCGTTGTGATATTTGTGGACTATGATAGAAGGCGAAATTTTCATTCAATTAATTCACCGATATATAAAATACAGAAGTCTAAGAAATACTACCAGCGTATTAAAAGGAATAATCCCCGTTTTAAACGCAAATCTCTCAACTACTTTCACTTTATAAAGGATAATCAAATTCTAACATTGTTACAAATATAGTAAAATTTACACTGACCCCATTACCGAGAACTATTTCCTTTCAATTATGAAACTCATAAACTCATAACATAACATAAACACTCACGCCTGTCACCCAGAGGGTTAGGCAGAGACTACAGACTTCCATTTGGTACGATCCTGACACACCTCTCTTGCCTCCTTCACATCCATACACCTACGCATACATGCTCGTCGGTTAAGGGTATTCCTAATTTGGTCCGTTTTCATCACGCCAATTTGCCACCCTTTCCCGCCACACTCTGCACCATAAATTTTCTTTGTCACTCTTTCCTCATTCATTCTTTCTACATGACCAAACCACTGAAGCATTCCTTTCTTAATCCTGCTCACAACATCATCTTGCAAACCACACTCTTCTCTTATTACACAATTTCTTACCCTGTCATTCAGATTCAGCCCTAACATACTCCTTAACGACCGCATTCCTACTGCGTTTATTCTACTCTCGTGCTTCTTCTGCCACACCCAACTTTCACTACCATACGTTAAAGTAGGGACCAACACAGCATTGTAAATTGCCATACGTGCCTTTTTCGACACATTTTGACTCTTCACCATAGAGTGCAGGGCCCCATTTACTCTATTTCTCGCATTCACTCGTCGTTCTATATCCTTATCATATCTCCCATCCCTGCTAAATACGCAGCCCAAATATACAAACTCATCTACTTGCTCGATCAACTCCCCTTCTATTCTTGTTTCACAAATCGTTTTACTTTCTTCTCTTTTTTATTTATGAAACTCCTCTCATTATTACAATTTTTTTTAATGACAGTCTTGGGCTCAAGGCCAGGTTGGACAGAATATCGATACTTAGACACGACATGGATGCGTAAGAATTGATAATTCATCGAGCATATAATATGCTCGGAAACAAATGTACGAAATCATGAAGTACTCAATTAAATTCTTTATCGAGTGGATTTACAAAATACTTTATAATTATCGCGATAAAAAAAAATTATCGGCCAACGTCAATTCCGGAATGAAACCTAAGGAAAGAACAAGCGATTAGGTCGTTAGTTAATAAATTCATTCATTAAGATTAGGTATTGTAGCATGGTTCTACGTGGTAGAGCCATGCCGCAGTTATATTAGTAGTATAGTTGTAGCACGGATGGGTCGACTCGACCGGGGAAGGACCACGCTCTCACAGAATACCAGCGTCAAATAGTGGCTTAATGCTGCTGTGTTTTGTATGGTGAGTGTTGAGAACCGGAGACCCTTTTTAACTGGAAACGAGGCATGCCATCTTAGTTCTCACGGGTGACAACGCATCTGCATTTTGATTCGTAATCGAGGATAGATGTAGATGTCTATGGGCCACAGTAACCACTTATCACCAGGTGGACTGTGTGCACGTTTGTGACCCTATCCTATAAAAAAACATAATAAATATAGGAAACATTAACTTACCGGTATATCTACTTTTCTTAGAGCAATAACATATATCATGCATGTACTTATAATTAGGTACTGATTAACATACATAGATAATACAGAAATTCTTATGCCTGTCGTCTAGAAAAGTAAGCAGAGATTACGGACTTCGGTTTGGCCTTCCTTACACACCTGTCTTACTCCTTTTACATCCATATATTCACGCATACATGGCGTCAGATGTCGACGCCGTACACTTAAGGTGGACCATCTTCAATATATTGTCAATTCCGTCGATAAACTTTCATCTAACGGATCCCTTGTCGGCTCTGTTACATCACCGTTCCTCATTCATGTTTTTTCGTGTCCAAGCCAAAATAGAATTCCTTTCTTAATACTGATGAGTCTCTGAGAGAACCACACTTTTCTCTTATCACACATTTTCTTGCCCTATCTTTGAGAGTAACACCATACATACTCTTAATTTCTGCACCATTAATTTTACTCTCATGCTTTTCATGCCATAACCAACTTTCATTACCATACATTAACGTAGGGACTGACATATTCTGACTTAGTAATACTGTATGCGTACTAGTACTGCCTCATTGGGATAGTAGCTTATCATGAGCTCGAATCGGGGTCGGGCAAAAATTACTTATAGAGTTTTTCTGTCAAAACCTCCTCAGTAGCAGACCGGAATCAGGAAGTGGACGATATTTCAGCCCAGTGCCTCGGAAATCAAGTAAAACTGTTGGTTCTGCGCCTGATCTGTCTCCGACGTGTAGGATTACCGTCCCATAGGACAATGAAAGTTTCGGAATAGAGAGTGCATTTGTGTTTGTGCACACGCTCGTGCACTATAACCCTGTCCTGTGTAAATGGCTGGTCTCTCTTGGAAATGGCCACTGAGACCGAAATTTTTTTGAGTACATATTGTAAATACATATTTATATGATTTACCAGTGCTCACATCTGATAATGAAATTCTCTCGTATTGGAAATGGAAAAATAATTCATAAATATGCTAACGACTGCCAATGTTAATGGCCGTGTGCGAACGCACACGTATGTTGATTGATATTTACACAGTTAAAGACGTTCTAAATATTCTTCATGTTGCCTGGTATTTTATTTATGAGCTTTTTTTACCATTATATATTTTTAAATAACCATTAAATCTCCTGCTTATTTATATAATTAACAAAAATATTTTCCTTCATTTAGTAGTAGGACGTGTCGCGAAAGAATCTATTACGAGTACAGAAGGAGAAACTTTTTTATTCAATATAGACTAAAAACAATACTCACTGAAAGTCCCTCTTTTGTCAAATTTGCCACTGCTTCGGAAAAAACTTTTTTTGTAAATAAAACAACTTACAGCCATATATGTTACACAATTAACAACACAAAACAAATTGGGAATAGCTTGGTAGCGATCACCTCACTCCCCGAGACATTATAATCTATATATTATCAGATAATTAATTATATACCGGATTATTTTGCAATAACCGGCCAAATTTGCAGAGAAGGTTCAAAATAAGTAACAAAGAAAAAAAATTAATTTGAAAAAATCTCAAAAGTTCTGTCCCTTTTATCTTTTGAACTCAAAATGCGTAGGAATACATTATTTTTCAATATTTTACATTACATTCTTTTCTGATTTTACAGTGCAAAGAAGATTCAGAATAAGTAATATAGGCAAAAATGGTGAAGAAATATTAATAAAAAAATCTCAAAATCTGTCTTTTTTGATCTTTTAAATTCAAAATGCGTGGTGTTCATATTATTAATGATTTTACTGCGCACGCACACATTCGTTCGTAAGCGTCTCTCGGTAGGCAAAAACGTTGTTGCCCATAAATCACATTCAATTTCAAATAAAAGGAGAAGCCTTACTTCCTCGTATTTACATAAACAGTATATATTTGAAATTAAGCTTAAAATTTGTCTGTTCTTAGATATGTAAATGGTCCTATATACATTACTAGATAATTATTTCTGTCGCCAAATACGTGTTAAACGTTGTAAAGCATTTTGTGTTTAAAGTTGGTTGCAGGTATCTATGGGCTGCAGAAATCACTTACCATCATCAGGTGAGCTGTATGTTCGTTTGTATTTTGAATTTTATTTTAAAAAGTTTTCTTTCTTTTTAAGCTATTGCATAGCTTCTATCGCGGGCCTTGAGCGCGGGGACCAAATCCAGAAATTCCGTAACGAAAAAAACCTCACGCTCCCCACTCCGACGGGCACGGAGATGTGACGTTGAAAGCCGTGCATCGTCTAACGTCGTTTCAGTTCGGCAGACTTCGGCACTCGGCAGACTTCGGCACGGTGTTTGTGTGCGTGCGACTAGACGTATGCGTGTACACTAGCTGTTAACTCAATGATAAAAATTCCTGAATAACCTACATGTATTGTAAGATATTAAAAATATTTTAAACAATATTAACTTCTCATTTATTCAATAAGAGAAAAAAAAATTGTTTTCTTATCGGTCACCTCGCTCAAAAAGTGTAACTTGATTTAATATCAAAGACTTAACTGCATAAATAAAATAAATAAATAATTATAATTGCATAAGTTGATAAAAAATTATATGCAATAGCTTTACCGCGGCAGTCACCGAGTGCCACACGTATTTTTTTTAAAGTTTAGAATACCGCTGATTATTATTTCATGTTTAAGAGAAACTTTAAAAGTATATAATTGATCATTGAAATCTTTGATCACATCTTCGATGGCTTTCGACACAAATAAGCGTAGTTTGAAACTGACAAACATAGAAGTTTATTTGTGTCAAAGGCCATCTGATATTAAGCATACTTAGTCTTCCTACCTGGATTTCGATTGTCAGGCGGCGGCATCGTGATCTTGGCATCAATTTACATTCTCATCTGCAACAAATAATACTTTACTGTTTACAAATCCTATCTTTATTAAAAAAAAAAACACAAATCTCACGAACTTTTACTAATAGTGTTTTGTATAATGTAACGTTGTACGCTACTCTAGTGATAGCTTCATTACTAATAATGCCACTATTATATTATAACAAAAAAAGGTATACTATTTTTTTACCTACGGCTTCGCTCTCATGAACTTCAATTTAGCAACATTAATAATTGCTGTTCCGTGCCAAATTTAGCAAAATTCGATCACTATCAAAGTTACCTCTGGCTGTGTGTGTCATCTGTGTTTCTATGTCTGTTTGTCAAAGATTTTTTTAAATTCTCAAGGACTATTGGATACAAAATGATTGCTATTTGGCTTAGATATAATATGTTACAGGATTGTTACATGTGAGTTACGTTTCCGGCAGCTTGGGTAGGGTTGATGTGGAAGGAGACGAAGACTTTTTCCTACATTACTTTATTTTCTAACTTACAAGTTAACTTAACTACTGTGACGATGTGAGTACACAGAATTACTGGACTAGTTAACTTTCAAACTAAATTAATTACTACTGGCCTGTCTTAACAATCAAACCAATTATATACTATGTTGAGACGTGCTGGGTTTTGCTTAGCAGGCGGTGGGTGATTTCCTGATGGCACTGTGTTGATTATTCTTAAGTCACGCGCTGTTATTTGCTTAGCCGGCTATTTTAAATTGTTGATGACTTACTGCTTGCTTGTATGGTCTTTTTTTTTTGCGGATGGTAAATCATCTAATGACCCCTTTCGCTCTGGGTGGAGCGTAAGGGAGTGTCAGACTTTTACTGACTAAAAACCATCCGTGTTCCTTCAGTGCCCTTACGTTCCGGAGCCGCGGTATCTCTTTCGAACAGTCCGCAGCCCCGGCAGGCGTTGGCCCTTACGGGCCCCTTCACGCTGCTGACAGCTCTTTGAGGCGCGCGTGGAACAAAACGCGCCGTCGACACGGCCTGTCGTCATTAGACGGACGGACGGCGAGCTACCCATTGCTCGCCGTCCACAGGCCCGCGCCTACTGTGGCCGAGGGCCACGACGTAGCTCCCGACGCCCGGGGCGTCTCCCGCGGCGGCCGGGGAGGAAAGCTGCTGTTCTCTCCTTCTCCCGCTCCGCCACCTCCTTCGCTAGCATCACTGCTTCGCAGAAGGTGGTGACGGCATCCCATTCCGTCTCGCTCCGGAACATGGCTTCGACCAGGGTCGGACGCGAGAGGTCGCCGCCGCCTATCGCCGCTACGAGGACACGGCGGTGCTCCGCCCAAGCAGGGCACACCTCCACGGTGTGTTCCACCGTGTCCTCCGGTCCGTCCTCGCAGTGGAAGCACCCGGGCGTTTCCTCCCGCCCGATTCGGTGCAGGAACCTCCCGAACACACCGTGTCCGGTGAGGACCTGCGTCAGGCGGAAGGTGAGGATGCCGTGGCGTCTCTCAAGCCACTCCTCGAAGAGGGATCTTATCGCCGCGTGCCCAGCACGGGGTTGCGACAGTCGCTCTCTCCATGTCGCCATGAGATCGTGCCGGAAGTCTATCCTCTGCGCGACAACTTGCAGGGCCATGGATCGCACGATCCCCGCGTAGAGCCTCCGGCAGGAGGCGTTTGGCCCCTCCAGGTTCGGCAGGAGCCACCTGAAGGCAGCCCCGGTCCGTTCCAGTTTGGGAGCCAAACGTCGGAAGTGCTCAACGAAGTTCCATCGGCCGTCGAGGACGAGTCCTAGGTACTTCAGCGTCGACTCGACGCCGATGGATACCCCTCCTACCATCACTGAGAATCCTGGTGGTGGCCTGTTCCGAGGACCATGGAAGTGCATGGCCTCGGACTTGTGCAGAGCCACCTCGAGACCCAGTTGCCGAATCCTCTCAACGACTATCGCAACCCCGTGTGTCATAGTTTCCGCCGCCGACTCGTACGACCCCCCTTGTGCCAGTACCAGCATGTCGTCAGCGTAGCAAACTACGCTGACGCCGGTAGGGAGGTCGGCGCGCAGCACCCAGTCGTAACCGATGTTCCACAGAGGTGGCCCCAGAACCGAACCCTGTGGGACACCGCACGAACATCTCTCGCCGGTTCCACTCACCGTTGCGACCGGGGTAGATGACGGTCCTGTCCGTCAGGTAGTCCCCGACTATACGACGGAGATAGGTCGGCACCCGGTGATACCGGAGTGCCTCCCTAATGCAGCTCCAAGGCATGGAGTTGAAGGCGTTGGCGATGTCGAGAGACACCGCCAAGACAACCCCCCTCTGGCCACTGCATCCCCCGTCGTGAGGGCTCTCACGCGCATGATGGCGTCCACCGTAGAGCGCCTCTTGCGGAAACCAAACTGGTGTTCCGCAAGATCCGGCCACGTCCCCGCAAGGTGCTCGGCGAGGCGGTTTGCAATGACTCTTTCAAAGAGCTTGCCCACCTCGTCGAGCAGCACCACGGGCCGGTATGCGGACGGAGAGTCCGCAGGGCGCCCCGGCTTCCGAATGAGGACCAGTTTCCCCGTCTTCCAACGAAGCGGGAATTGGCCTCTCTCCAAGCATGCGCTTAGGAGCCCCTCCAGTCGGGGCCCGAGAGCCTCCGAGGCCAGGACCCAGGCTTTGCCAGGCAAGCCATTCGGGTCCTGGGGCGGTATTCCTGGCCTTGAGCCTACGTACCGCCACTCTCAGGTCTACCCTGATCCCTTCCGGGATGTCGTCGTCGTCGTTCTGGTGGTCCGCTTCCGGCCCCGCAGGTGGCGGAGCCCTAGGCGGGGGCGGATGTTCTCCTCGCGTAGGGAACAGAGCGCTCACCACGTCCTCCACGAGCTGGGGCCGGAGATTTTGCGTCAGCGGGGGGGCACAGGTGCGGAGTTTATCCCGCACCATCTTGTAGGGGCGCCCCCACGGATCTCTGTTGAGAGTCTCCAGCATCTCCTCACGGGCCCGATCCCGGGCCCGCAGGACAGCCTCCCGGAGGGCGGTGTGCGCCGCTCTGTATCCCTCGTACAGCTCTGCCTCAATGGCTGCCGCATTCGGTGGACGAATGCGGAGCCCGCGATGCCTGGCGTACAGGTGCCGCGCGGCGACACACGCCTCGCGCAGAGACGTCAGCTCACGCGACCACCAATACACCTGACGCCGGGCGCTTCCTGGCCGGACGCGGGGCATTGCCACGTCAAATATCTCAGACATGGCCTCCTCGAACCACCCTGCCTCATCATTGACGTCGACAAGCCTGTCCGGTGATGACACCCAGGCCTGCACGATCGAGGCTTCCAGGAGGAGCTCCCGGTCCAGCTACTTCAGCGCCCAACGCGGACCACTCGGGGCCTGTTGGACTGGCGCGCTCGAGGGCTGGGTGGAGACATCAAACCGGATGTACCGGTGGTCGGAGTAGGTCTCCACCCCCTCCATGACACGCCAGTCAATGGCACGCGGCGACAGAGCGGGGCTAGCGAACGAGATTTCCACCACCGACTCGCCCCGCATCCGCACACACCTGGGGACAGAACCCCGATTTAGGACGACCAGGCCTGTCTCCAAAGCCCAGCCTTCCACCATCCTACCCCGCACATCTGTACGACGAGAACCCCAAGCCAAGTTCTTGGCATTGAAGTCGCCGAGGACAAGTACGGGGAGGGGATAACTTCCGACGACGACTGCTCTCAGCTCTGCAAGAGAGTTGTGGAGCTCGGCTAGAGATCGGTTCGGGGAGAAGTACACCCCCACAACGACGAACTCCCCGAACCGTGCTGCTACACACCCCTGACCCCTCCCGACACCTTCAAGGGTCGGGGTACCGGCGGCGGCCGAAGAGATGATGGCCACTGAGCCGTTAAGGTCCGCCACCCAGTCCTCCCTAGGCCAGACAAAATACGGCTCAGCGACCACAGCGATGTTAATCGACCACTGCGCCATGCTCTGGAGCAACAGATCCTGAGCGCAGGCGCAGTGGTTGATATTCGCCTGGAGGAAGCTTAATGGGGCCGTTATAGGCATTCCATTTCAGCTTCCTCCACGGGGGGCCCCTCTGCGGGCGTCGGTGTCGCGGCGGCGGCGGCGGCGACAGTGACAGCGGTGGCAGTGGCAGTCGCGGCTGCGGCGGAGGCCACAGAAGCGGTGGCGGCTTTGGCCCCTACCCTACCCGCGGCCTTGGCCTTGGCGGGTGGCACGCAGGCCTTGCTTCCGGCCCGGTGATCGGCAGCGGAAGCAAAGGCCACTGCGGTCAACCTCCGAGGCGCATCTCACTGATACGTGGTGCTCCACGAGACAGCGATAGCACCTCAGAGGTCTGGGCTCCAGCAGCTTAACCTGCGCTGAGACCCAGCCCACCAGAAGCCTTCGACCCTCCACTATGGTTTTGGCCGCCGTAACAGGGCAGCGCACCGTGGCGGCATGCATACCCTGTTGGTCCGGGCGTATGGCGCCTGACCTGACCTGGTCAGTAGTGCACCCCCGGACCTGGCAACGGCGGCCACCAACTCCTCCTCTGATACCGAGTCGTCCAGACCCATGATGCGCAGGTCTGCGCATCTGACGGGCCTGGACACTCGGGCCTCGTCCGCGTCCAGAGACGCTCTGAGCTTCGCAGCCAGAGCGTCCGCGGTCGCACCACTGGATTCCCCGGGGACCTCCAGCATACGGGCCCCCGTCTGGGTGACTTTGAGCCGGAGGCCCCCGGTGATCCCGAGCTCCCCGAGATCCACCGCCTCCTTCGCCTTCGAGAGCAGATCGCGGTAGGTAACGCCCTTCTTTTCCGCGTCCGGCTGTAGTGTGATCACTACAGCTGCGGTCTTCGGAGCGCGGAGCCTAGCCGCGATCTTGCGCGCCCTGAACTGGCGCTGCCGCTCCTGCTCTTTGGCCTTTTTGGCTGCCTTCTTCCCCTTCTTCTTGTTCCCGACCACCTGCCAACCGGCTTCAGTCGCGGGAGGTGTAGGGAGCTGGGGGTCAGTGACGGCGGCGGCAGCTGGCT